CGTGATAGGGGCTTCTTGCAGTTCTTGATGAACACAGAGTTCTATGAGTCTGGCCCTGGGGCAGAGTGCATGGGCATGTCATTTATCGCCTGTTCGAAGTCATTTGGCGTCAGGATAACATCGGTAGGCTTGTGTTAATCAAATTTTGTGGCTCTCTCATAAAAAATTCATTTTGATCTTCGACTCTCGTCATGGTTAGCGGCTTGCTAAAAAACTGAGTCATATTGGGACTTGAGTAGCTCACTCATTTCCTTGTTGTATCTGTGTAGGACCCATCTTGTTTAAGTAGGGGCCCAATACTGGACGTTGTTCTCGATTTGATTTGGCATAGAGAAGAAATACTTTGGGTTTCTTTCGATTTCATTTATGGCTTTTAGTTCTTCCCGCGATTCCTGACTCCTAAAGGATTCTTTTAGTTTAAAGTTCGATGCTTGCTATTTCTCTGACCAGTGTCTCCCTACGCATTTCAGATATATTGACCTCTTTTAGCCGCTCTGTTATCTTTTCCGTCGCCTGTAAAGGGAGCGCCTGTCTCTTTCTGTTTTACATCTACTTCTCCTTTTTCTTAGAGGAAATAAGCCTTGTGCATACATCGAGTGCTACCGAGTTAATCTGTTCTAGGCATAAGTTGGGGTCTGTGTTGCTTAGTATATCTTCCCAGCTTATATCGGTTAGGACTTGGTTTACTTGGTCCCACTTTATGTTTTTGTTATTGAAGTTGAATTTGGTGAATGCTCCCTCGTGACTAATCTCATTATGTCGGTCTGGGGCTCCGCGCATACATGACTGAACCTCAATTATGTTGTGATCTGAGTATATTGTTTTTGATATGGTGATATTTCTTATCAGATCATCATTGTTAGTGAAGATGAGGTCTAGTGTATTCTCCAGTCTAGTAGGCTCTATTATTTGCTGGTTTAAATTGAATTTTGTGCAGAGATTTAAAAGCTCGCGTGAGTGTGAGTTTTCATCAGAGCTGCCTCCTGGTGTTATTACTGCAACAATATTATTTGCTATATTCCTCCATTTTAGGTGCCTTAAGTTGAAATCCCCCAGGAGCAAGATGTTGGGTGCAGGAGCTGGAAGGTTTTCCAGACAGTGGTCAATTTTTAACAGCTGTTCCTGGAATTGCTGGGATGTTGCATCCGGAGGCTTGTAGACTATCACAATGACTAGGTTTTGGTTCTCGACCTTTACTGCTAAAACTTCCACTACATCATTTGAGGCATTTAGCAGTTCTGTGCAAACAAGTGACTCTGCAATGTACAGGCCAACCCCCCCCTTTTGCCTGTTCACTCTGTCACATCTGTATAGGTTGTAACCTGGGATCCATATTTCGTTGTCCAAGTGATCCTTTATGTGGGTCTCAGTGAAAGCCGCGAACATTGCCTTTGCCTCTGCAAGCAGTCCACGGATGAAAGGTATTTTGTTGTTTGTTGCTGGCTTTAGACCCTGTATATTTGCAAAGAAGAATGTTATCGGACTGGGGTATTGTTGGTACTGGGGGGGGGATTTTTTTTCCGGCATTAGTATCTGTATCTGTTGGTTTGGAGTGGAGGCCATCGACTGTGGTTCCACTCCAGGAATGACTGGATTTGGTGTACGATTTCTGCCATTTCCTGCCAGTTTTTTTTTCCTTCCTGGCACTAAAAAACCTCTCCCTCTTGAGTGGCTGTGGCTACCCAGGTTTTCCCATGGCCTGGATGTTTTGTATCTTTTTGTCCCTTTAGATGGTATGCCTGGCAATTTAAGTTATAGCACAGTCTTTCCTGTACTGAAGAGGTACACAGTTCAGGGTGAAAAAGCTTACAGGAAGGGAGTTTGCATTTTCCTGTTGTCTATGGCATGGCATTTCCTAGGGTGGTCATAGTTGCACGTCCCATCTGTTTTTCCAGATTTCCCATGCCAGCAGATACCGAGTGCATAGTATTGCACAGGCTTGGTTTCCGTTTGCCTTGGGTTTCTGTGACTGTATTCCCTGTTGGTGCATGTTTCCCTGTCTTACTTCTATCCTCCCTAGCACCAACAAGGGAGCTCCCACCATTTGTTTTTGGTAATATATCCTCACTATTGCTAGTGGAGTCCTCTTGTTTGCTATTTCCTGCGGTATTTCTAGTTTGCAATATTGGTTTTATCTTATCTTTGACTACACTTTTTCCCTACTATGGCTCCTGTCCCCTATGCGGTCATTCATATGTATTCCTTCCTGCGTATAATTCCCGACTACCTGGACAAAATCTCCAGCTTCACCATTACTGTCTCCAGGACAGCATCTCCAGCTTCCCATTACTGTCTCCCAGGACAGCATCTCCAGCTTCACCATTACTGTCTCCCAGGACAGCACCTCCAGCTTCACCATTACTGTCTCCAGGACAGCACCTCCAGCTTCCCCATTACTGTCTCCCAGGACAGCACTATCAGCCCCCCATTTACTGACTACCAGGACATCATCTCCAGCCTTACAGTTTCTGACTACATGGCCAGTATCAAGGGCAGTACCATTCAGCCCGGACTTTTTATGTTCCCATCTGTTGTAGAAAGCTTCCAGGTTTTCTATGAAAGCAGCTTTGATGTTGACCTCTTTTAATACCCTTGTGATTTTAGTCCACAGATTTATCTCATTTGGGCATACCAAAAACACTTCCCTGTTTTAATACTGCTTGTAGCTAGTTCTTGGATATCTGCACAAGGGGCGTGACACCAATTTCCACAGAAATGACAATTTATGCATGTGGAAGCCCGTTTGTTTGACTGACCACAGACTACACACAGCTTCATAATGATTTGAATGGTTGATTTTTCTGCAATTCTACTAGCAACCTCTTGAATATTCTATTAATAACCTGCTAGGTGGTGCACAACGAAACCGTTTGAAACCAGTCCAGGGTTCGGACCAGTCAAGGGTTCGGACCAGTCAAGGGTTCGGACCAGTCTATCTGATCTGATCAGTGGGTCACTTATTTAAACCATATTTTATATATATATATATATATATATATATATATATATATATTTTATATATATATAAAATATATATATATATATATATATAATGCGTTCCTAAATATTTCGATAATGTGATGAGATATCTAGGAGCATATCTGTATACTATGCTGGTTCATCCTCTGAACACGCCCAGTATTTAACCTCCAAATGCCACAACACTGTAAATATAATGATCCATTAAGTAACGAGAAACTGTCCCACGCTTATTGCTCTCTTGACAAAAACTCTCTTGAAAGTTGCGCCGTTTTTTGTGAGGGAGAATCTTGCCAGAGACGTAACCGATACTCCTAATACTACTGACACATCTGGCACGCTTTAGTATTTATGTAGTCAGTGAGAGGAGTTTATAGGTGGTGGGTTGGTAGACAGCAATGTTCCAGGAAGGTACTAATAACCTCCGCTAATAATAGTGAGAAATGGAAACCTGATTGCTGATCCTTACTGATACGTTAAGGTGAAATGTGTGTATTCGCTAGGCTTTTAACTTAGTAAACTAGGCCAGACATTTTTAGGTATTTGCGATAAACACATTACAATGGTTAGTGGTTGTGTCATGTGTGGGTAGCTACCGCTGGCCAGGAATCCCGAGGCACTCTGGCACCACGGTGCCAAAATAACAAAGTTGGAAAGAGTCCAGAAGATTGACCTATTGTGAGGAATACCATGCTATGAGTACCAGTAAGCACCGGCAGGAAGATAACTCCTTGAAGGTAACCTTATTGTAAGAAATACCACTCTAGGAATGCCAGTAAACACCAGCAATGTATAGGGACCCAACACTTAGCCTGATACATTGTGATGTCAGGTATACGGACCCAAAGTATACCCCTGGTACATTGTAACGTGAGGTACAGGGACCTGAGACATAGCCTGGTACGACTTCTGGTCAAAATAAACACGACCTTCACTGCCTCAATAACATTCATAGAAACATCAAGTGATGAAGATGGCTCTTTAGGTGGGGAGGAGGGAAGTGTATTGAGTTTAGGAGAGTGGTTGACGTAGGAGTGGTGTATAGAGGCTGGGATTGGGTGGAAGTTTTGTATCCAGAGCGTGACGGAAGCCGGTGGGTGGTTGGGAGTGTTTGACAGGGTAAGATAAGATTTCGTTCGGATTTTTAACCCCGGAGGGTTAGCCACCCAGGATAACCCAGAAAGTCAGTGCGTCATCGAGGACTGTCTAACTTATTTCCATTGGGGTCCTTAATCTTGTCCCCCAGGATGCGACCCACACCAGTCGACTAACACCCAGGTACCTATTTGCTGCTAGGTGAACAGGACAACAGGTGTAAGGAAACGTGTCAAAATGTTTCCACCCGCCGGGAATCGAACCCGGGCCCTCCGTGTGTGAAGCGGGAGCTTTAGCCACCAGGCCACCGGGCCACCGGGTGACTGGAAAGGCTTGGTGATGTGGGAATGGGTAGATTTCCCTGAGGCTGATGAATAAGAGACCATAATTAAGGTGGTTCAGTAGAAGTCTTTGAAAAAAGGGTGGGTGAATGAGAAGACTTAATAAAGAAAGGTGAAGTAAAGAAACATCACTAAGACAAGCTCTTATTGTGCCATCTGCCAGGGAAGCTCACCAACCAGCTCCCTGACTACGGCACATGGAGGGTTGTGGAGTACTAAAGATCAACAGAAATACGTGATCCTTCAAAAGCGTATGTAATACCGCCTCTTGTGTGAACAGGGTTGCATTATGATCAGCATAGGTCATATACATACACAGTATAAGAAATGATGAGTGACAACATTCGATATTCCACGGCTGGACCGACACAAGAGGTCTTTTCTCTTTAAAAAAAATGAACATGCTCATTACTAGTCATATGGAGATACGTTGTCAGTTATCAGAAACTCGGACGGGGACTCGGAGACTCAGAGACCGCTGGTAATATGATCTACAGGGGAGGGTTTATGAAGGTCCGGCTCCCATACTGTCAACCCACATCTATTAATATACATTTCTTACCCACCCCTTGCCTCCCACTGCCATGAAGGGTTGGTATATGAGGAGGTAGCACCCACTACCTGCCCTCAGGTGCCCTCCATACGGTGATAACGTCAGTGGTGTGCTCTCGTGCCTGTGCAGGGAAGGTTACTGTAAGTACACACTCAACTCTCTCCGTGTGCCTTGTTCGTGCACCTGTGTACTTAACTGACCTGTTCGAACTTGAGAACAAACGACCATCTTACCGAAAGCAACCTCGATGTCTCTCAGAGCAGTGTTGACAAGTTCCAAAGCAGCTTTTACGTGTCCCAAAGCAGCCTTCACTTGTCCCAGAGAAGCATTGCTGTTCCAAAGCAGCCTTCACTTGTCCCAAAGAAGCATTGCTGTCTCAAAGCAGCCTTCACTTGTCCCAAAGAAGCATTGATGTCTCAAAGCAGCCTTCACTTGTCCCAAAGAAGCATTGGTGTCTCAAAGCAGCCTTCACTTGTCCCAAAGAAGCAATGGTGTCTCAAAGCAGCCTCCACTTGTCCCAAAGAAGCAATGGTGTCTCAAAGCAGCCTTGATCTGCTATACTCGAGTTATCCAGAACAGATGAAGAAACTTTGTATTGTAAATAGCTCAAAGTTTAGTATCTTGCTTGGGACGTAAATATGATATACTTATCGAAAACACAAGACAGAGTTAAGTTAGTGAGGATCTCCTTACAAAGCATTTCACCTAGGATGCGATACGAGAGACGATATTATGTGGGTGGGTGTACCCGCCGAGGAAAACACTCATGGGGACCCCGTGACAACACAAGTGTTTCTGGTGTTTCTAAACCAGCTCGTGGGTAACACCATTGAACAACGTCATCTTCAGAGATGTACACTGTCTTCTTTGTTTTACAATAATACAAACATTATCCTTAGAGGTTTTTACGTGTATTGTGCTACAGCCTACCTAGCATGGTCCACTAAGCTTAATAAGCGTTGTTTTCAGAGGTTATGGAACAATAACACAATTTTTTAGAAATATTCTGGAGCTACAGTTGTGTTGTCTTGTTTCATATTTCACTTGTTACTAACAACTGAGTATCCATTTTGTTTATTATCGTTATTGTAATTTGAGTTATTCCAAATAACCTAGTGAGAGGGCGCACAATTCTCGTCTGTCAGCCAAGAGAATTCTCCTAATTCAATAACATGAAAAATGGAGAATGTTTTTTTTAGAAAGTATAACACATAGAGAGTAAGAATAACTAATTTGCACAGCACAACAATGCTAGAAGCTGAGTCAAGTGTGAAACAAGAAACAATATTGGAAAAATGTGCTATATATTTTTTTAGAGTTCATTTTTTTATTTTTTCCCCTTACCATTTCAGCAGTTACAACTGTAGATTTGTGTTGTCTCTGCCTGACCACTTCCTGCGTTTTATAGCGTCGCCTCAGTATAATGGCTTTGGTGCTTAAAAAAAAATGTTGCAACATTCTGTTATACGACATGGCTGCCGTGCACACACTAGTATATCAAAATTTAATTCTGTTCCTTTTTTGTGTTACTAAATTTACAATCACCTAAAGAATAAAACGATTTTGTTAAAAGTGACTGCTTCTTTTCAGGTAAATTCAGAGCCATTATCTGAGTCTGACTAGAGCAGCAGCTTGTAACTCTCCGTCACCAACATGCCAGGCCACATCGTGAAGAGCACAGGTCCTGACCCGGATCCCACTGAATATTTGTTCGTCTCCATGGAACAGAAAAGGGTAGACCAAACTAAACCTTACGATGCCAAGAAGTCCTGCTGGGTACCTGACGAAAAAGAAGGCTTCGTCGAAGGGGAGATCCAGGGCACGAAAGGAGACTTAGTTACTGTTTATGCTAAAGGTGAGACAAAGAACTTTAAGAAGGACCTTGTGGCTCAGGTCAACCCTCCCAAGTATGAAAAGTGTGAAGATATGTCCAACTTGACCTACCTTAATGACGCCTCTGTCCTCTACAACCTGAAGACTCGTTACGTCGCTAAGCTCATCTACACCTACTCTGGTCTCTTCTGTATCGCTGTCAACCCCTACAAGCGCTACCCCATCTACACCAACCGTGTGGTCAAGATCTACCAGGGCAAGAGGCGAAATGAGGTGCCTCCCCACATTTTCGCCATATCTGACGGTGCCTACATGGCTATGTTGCAACGTAAGTACTAGACTTCCTGTGCTTACTTTGGGAATTTATTGCAACTGTTGTTGAAAATGTGCGAGATAAATGTTAAGTTTTGAAAGCTAAATATTCTGTTTTCTTTTCAGTTGGCGAGAACCAGTCTATGCTTATTACGTGAGTTACTGCTTGCTTGGTCTTCTTGACTTCCACCTAATTACTTTATCTTCTGTTCTGATCGACGTTCCTTCACCCTTACTGCTTCTCTCTCTCTCTCTCCCAATTTTACTTCAGTTCTCCTAACCGTTTACACGCAATTTTGCTCGTCATTTTGTGTTTTGTGCAAAATCTCCTAGTGTACACACACACACATATATATATACACTATATATATATATATATATATATATTATATATATATATATATATATATTATATATATATATATATATATATATATATATATATATATATATAAGCAAATTATAATAATGTTGTGTCCTTCCCTGCCTCGACAGTGGTGAGTCTGGTGCTGGTAAGACTGAGAACACCAAGAAGGTACTCTCCTACTTCGCCAACGTCGGCGCCACCACCAAGAAGAAGGAGACAGAGAAGAAGCAGGTAGTGCAGCACCAATGATACTAGCTGATTCACTTGCATCCGCGTCAACAACGAATCAATTTCTATTTAAATCAGGATACTTATTAGCTTAAAGTTGAAAGTTAATATTTGTTTTACTTGCTTATACCATCACAGATCAGTAAATTAAAACATTTATAAACCATTTAATTGGACTTATATAGCTTCTCTAATACTGTAAACATCACTGTATCGTAATGAAACTGAGTGTTTAGAGTTACGTATATACATTGTTCTTGGGTTTACAGTGTAATTCTATAGAGATAGGTTAATTATTTTTCTTTAATATAATCCATAACTTAGTTTTACGTGTGATAAACTAGTTCTTATCTTTGGTATGGACGTCAGAACCTGGAGGACCAGATCATCCAGACCAACCCTATCCTGGAGGCCTTCGGTAACGCAAAGACCACCCGTAACGACAACTCCTCCCGCTTCGTAAGTATATCAGTATCCTAGTGATTCTCCGCCTATACATCGTTGTATAACTTACCGCTCTTCGGTTAATAATCGTTTAGAAAATAAATATCGGTTTAGCATACGCAACCTAGTTTTAGTATTGTGGTGATGAGAAGTTAGTACTCTTAATACAAGTCACTGACTTGTGATGCGAAGACATGTTGCGGAGCAAGCATGTATTGGAACAAGGTTTTGCTAAGTGGATTATTATTATCGTGGTGAGCGCTGAACCCGTTGGAATTATACAGCTCCTGTGGGGGGGGGGGAAGGAGATGGAAGGCATTCAGGTTCAATTCAAGGAACTGAAGCATAGATCAAATTCCCTAGATCAAGAGCCCCTCACCAGCGTCAAGGAACCTCCCTAGAGGTTTGCTTTGTGGAGAGTTGTATCAAGCTCTACTCAAAGTAAAACTGTGTCCCATTAAAAGCCTCTTCTGCAAAGTGTCTACACTCCTGCTAGAAGTGCACCATTCAAGTAACATGCTTAACATTTTGTTCAAAATGGTATAAAATACTTCTAAGTTAAATATTAAGACTCCTGTGCAACAGTTGGATATCTTTATTGATGAAATGTTTCACCTACATTGTAGGCTCCATCAGTCAAATACAGAGGGAGCAGGTGTAGTAGTGAAATAAAGATGAAATCAATCCATCAACTTCGGAGAAGAAAGTATTTGAGGTGGTTAGTCCCTCAGCCTGGGAACGAGTTCATCTCCAAGGTTGCTGCACTAATTATATCTATTTCACTACTACACCTGCTCCCTCTATATTTGACTGACGGAGCCTACTGTATAGGCTACATGTTTCATCAATAAAGACACCCAACTGTTGCACATGTATCTTAATCTTCAACTTAACATTCTGCTGTCCCACAGGGTAAATTCATCCGCATTCACTTCATGCCTTCTGGCAAGCTGTCTGGAGGTGACATTGAGGTCTACCTGCTGGAGAAGGCTCGTGTTATCTCCCAACAACCCGCCGAGCGTTCCTACCATATCTTCTATCAACTAATGTCTGATCACGTACCTTGGATAAAGCGTAAGTATCTACTTCTTTTTGCAGCGTCTCATTAATTTTCCCTCAGATAAATTTTATGTGAGTATTGTTATATAAACGCTTTATACTGTTGTTTTAAGTGTGTGTGTGTGTGTGTGTGTGTGTGTGTGTGTGTGTGTGTGTGTTTCACATCTACGCAGTGACACATATTAATATAATAATGGCAGAATTACCCACCAAATGTCAAGTAAATGGACACGGATGCAACTAATGAGACATTTTATTGTGGCAACGTTTCGCTTTCCAGCTGTAACGGCTTGACAAAGGTCCTGGAGAGCGAAACGTTGCCACAATAAAAGTCACATTAATTGCATGTGTCCATTTACCTAATATCATTTAAGTTGATTCACTAAGCAGCCTCTGAAAATTCAGAAGCTAGACTGTAAATATAAGCTGACATCAACTGACTCCCCTCTCCACAATACTCATGTTGCAGTAATGATATATAATGCGTTGCACAGGTGTCTTATCCACCGATATATAATGCGTTGCACAGGTGTCTTATCCACCTAAAGCTCATTTTATTTCATAAATTGGAAATCGCCACTGGATAATACATTGTATTGATGTGTTCAGCAACGTGCCACCTGAGCAATGACATCTACGACTACCACTACGTGTCTCAGGGTAAAGTCACAGTCGCCTCCATAGACGACAAAGAAGAGATGCAGTTCACTGATGTAAGACTCATTTTACGTCCAGTAGCTGTTCTCGTATTTACTGTGAAAGTTATTTTTTCATCTGAGTTTTGGCTTAAATTCAGGAACAAATATGCAATATAGTAATAAGTTTTTTTTTAATTTCAAATGATTAGGTTTTTTCACGTTGAATTGGCTTTCCAACGTGAGAAGATCGTAAGTAATTTCGAAGATGGAGATCAAAAGGCATATTTTTTTTCAAAATAATTTGTATATTTTCTTCTAGGAAGCTTTCGATATTCTTGGTTTTTCAAGAGAAGAGAAGGAGAATGTATACAAGGTGACAGCTGCCGTCATGCACATGGGTGAGATGAAGTTCAAGCAGAGGGGTCGCGAAGAGCAGGCTGAGCCTGACGGTACCGAGGTACTGTACACTTCATTACTTGTGATTACCAGTTATTGAGGTGGAAAAACTGCGTTACTTTCTCTTGCTGAGTAGATAAATTTTATGTTTTTGTATTGTGTACATCAAAAACGAAATTCGTGTGGCGTAGTAGCGCCTTCAGCTCTCAAGTGACGGCTCTGGGTTCGATCCTGGGGCTGGTGGAGACATTTCTCTTGTTTCCTTGTACGTGTTAACTCGATTCACCTAGGTACCTGGGTGGTACCTGGCTATTATGAGTTGCATTATGGAGAAGTGGACACAACGATCCCCTTGAAAATAAGCTAAACCAACTGACTTTCTTTAATTATCCTACCCGCGTCAGGAAACACCTGTCCTGTTTCCTGAGGAACCTTACCTAACCTAACCTGGACTGCTAACCCTGAATCAAGTCTTCTTTAGCGTGTTATCGCAGCTAACTCTGGTTATCTGGTTTAGGTTGGAGAGACTGTTGGAAAGTTGCTGGGCGTTGATGGAATGGACCTTTACAAGAACTTGTGCAAGCCCAAGATTAAAGTCGGTGCCGAATTTGTAACCCAAGGAAGAAACGTGAATCAAGTGTTTTACTCGGTCGGGGCTCTATCTAAAGCCCTGTTCGACCGGGTTTTTAAATACTTAGTCAAGAAGTGCAACATTACGCTCGAGACCGGCCTCAAACGCCATTGTTTCATCGGTGTGCTCGATATTGCTGGCTTCGAAATATTTGACGTTAGTAACAGCCTACTATCCTCACACGTCATCCAGCCAAAATGGTATTGTCTGACATTTTAATTGATCACATATGATAAAGGACCATATTTTGTGCCTAGTTTTTATTCAAAATTTTTAACTATGACATTAAATGTTCTTAACGTCAACAGTTCAACGGCTTCGAGCAGATCTGCATCAACTTCTGTAACGAGAAGTTGCAGCAGTTCTTCAACCATCACATGTTTGTGCTGGAGCAGGAAGAGTACAAGAGGGAAGGTATTGACTGGACCTTCGTGGACTTTGGTATGGATCTTCAGGCCTGCATTGAGCTCTTCGAAAAGGCAATTCACCTATATTCATCTGTCCTGTGTGCTTGAAGATTGTTTACAACCCCCAAAGTATTAAGGTTTACACAACTGTAACTGTAACCTTTTTAAAAATATATCTCCTTCCGGTATTGCAGTTACTACCAGGGTTGACCTCCCCACCACTGCAGTTATTGCGACAATATCCCCATCTGTTTGGTGTTGTAGTTATGAAGTTTGGTTTACCCTACCTTCCCTTCTCTTACAGATCTGAGATTTCCCCCATAATTGAAGTCTCCCGTACGTGAACATGCCTACGATTTACCTTCTCAGCATACTGTAGCTACATCCAATACTGGATACAGAAATAACTGAGACACCAACTGTTTGAATATATATATATATATATATATATATATATATATAATATATATATATATATATATATATATATATATATATATATATATATATATATATATATATATATATATATATATATATATATGTGTGTGTGTGTGTGATAATGTGGAAAGATGCGGCAAGTGTTTTTTAACTTGCATAATAGCTAAATAATAACAGAGCATAGATTGATGGTAAAACTTGAGCTTCGCCAAATTGTCATAATCAAAAGTACTTAAGTGATTCATTTTCTGCATTATCATCTCGAAAACATTTTGTTAATTTTAATTTAAAGTATTTTTTTGCATATTTTGTAGAGTTCCCCAGTCCCCCAGAGCATGTTTGGTGTACAATATAAAAGGGTATAAATTCTGCTCATAGAGAATTACCTGGAAATATACCATATTTTTTGGCTGAATACTTTGACAGTATATTTGTTTTGACAGTATACTTTCTTTGACAGTATACTTGTTTTGACAGTATACTTTCTTTGACAGTATACTTGTTTTGACAGTATACTTTCTTTAACAGTATACTTGTTTTGACAGTATACTTTCTCTGACAGTATACTTGTTTTGACAGTATACTTTTTTTTTATAAGTGACTGTATTGCTTCCCCTCTCCTATATATTGCATGTTTAACTTTATTTAGAGGCTAACTGATTGTGGACAGATGTATTTATTTTACAGGCAAGGATCATCTACTACTGCTATCTTCGTCTTCCATAATACCTGTTACTTTCTGCCCTTAAACACAACATACTTTCTGCCTCCCTATAATACCCGTTACTTTCTACCCCTCAGGATTACCTGTTACTTTCTACCCCTCAGGATTACCTGTTACTTTCTACCCCTCAGGATTACCTGTTACTTTTTACCCCTCAGGATTACCTGTTACTTTTTACCCCTCAGGATTACCTGATACTTTTTACCCCTCAGGATTACCTGATACTTTTTACCCCTCAGGATTACCTGCTACTTTTTACCCCTCAGGATTACTCGTTACTTTCTACCCCTCAGCATTATCTGTTACTTTCTGCCCTTAAACACAACATACTTTCTGCCTCCCTATAATACCCGTTACTTTCTGCCTCCTCAATGCTAGGAAAATTGAGTTCCTATTCATAAGATGAAAGAAAAACTTTCTATTATGAGCATTTCCCATTTATCCCTTCCCCTTGACAAGCAAATGAGAATAGTGAAGAATAGGCCGTAAACTGCTCGTTCATCCCCTCACCCTCCATCTCTTGCCCAAGAATATATAAACAGCCTAGTCAAGCTATAAACTGCTCTCCCCCTGTCCCTCTCCATCCCTCCGCCCAAAATCAAATGTAAACAGTTTAGTGAAACATAGGCTGTAAACTATGAGGAAATGAAAATAGCGTAGTGCAACATAAGCCGTTATTTAAAAGTAAATGTGAAAAGCTTAGTGGAACAGGCTATAAGCTACTTTCCATATCAGCCTCCATCCCTTCCCCCAGTAGCAACCATGTAACATAGGCTGTCAACTAGTGCTCACCTGTCTCAATCATTCCTCGGCAGAGGTAAACACCAGCTTGCTCCTCTCTCACCAAAGAAAATTAGCAGTTCTTCAAGTACTTATTAACCCTCGAGGAAGAGTACAAACGAGGGCAGTATCTTTGATGCTTCTCTGAGTTCAGTCCTGCACTCAGCAGTTAAGAAGGTAACAAACACCTGTACTAATACTGAAACACACATTAATATTTTAATGATTGGGGATGCGCAAAAACCACAAGTCACACAACACCTGGGGAATGGGAAGGTTTGACCAAAAGGGAAGGGTAGCCTTCAGTTCCTTGAATCAAGAGCTTTGCACCAACACTTGCACCACTGCCCCCCACTCTAAAGGGACTGAAAAACCAAAACAGATACAGTAGATAATGTACTTTACGCTAAAAGGTTTGGGAAGATAATCTACAGAATAACATTAAGTTTAATCTCAAATCGAGTCTCTGCCCAACATGATATTTTATCGACTTAATCGTCCACACTTGATGCTGCAGAACGAAGCAATACTGTAACTGTGGGGCAGAGTAACCCTTCCTTCTGCTACCAGCTCACCTCAAGACCAAATAGTCTTTCTTGGACCCTCATTCTTCTCTTGCGTCATATATTATGACACCGAGTCCTAGAAATAAAATAAATAATCTGACTCCCATAACCTCATCTTGAAAATATGCAAGTCGCAGTATCGTTGCTAAAACAATTCGCAAGTAGTCCGTAATTTTTTTATTAAATCTGGACGACGTTTCGGTCCGCCTTGGACCATTATAGAATCTTTAGTGACTGGCTGTGATGTTCAGTTTAAATTTCTAATTTCTGGGTTAACTGTAAATGTCATCTTATATCACCGTGTTGCAGCTGGGTAAATTCAGTCTCCACGGTAGAGTAATATTTATGTTAAACACTTTCAAAGTCACACAACAGATCTTACCAAGACTATACATATTTGATTTAAATTACACCACATTAACATTTCTGAGTAAGTATGACTTATAAATTCGTTGGTAAATTAATGAATGCATCTTAAACAAAATTACTGTAAAAAGTAAACAGAGTTTATGAGGTTGACATCATCACATATGGTTTGTCTTACCGTAATATACATCTCATGGTTTGCATTGATATATATTGTATATTTTGCTGTGATAAATATTGCATGTTTCATCCTAATATACATTGCATATGTTGACGTGATATTGGGTACCATCAATATGCCTACATTTTATTATGCTTATGTATACTAAAATAGTCATGTTAATATGCCTATATCTTATTATTTTTACTTACAAACAGCCTCTAGGTCTTCTCTCAATCCTCGAAGAAGAGTCTATGTTCCCTAAGGCAACTGACAAATCCTTCGAGGAGAAGTTGAAAGCGAATCATCTTGGCAAGTCACCTAACTTCATCAAGCCCAAGCCTGCGAAACCCGGACAGGCTGAAGCCCACTTTGCCATCGTTCACTACGCTGGTACGGTGCCCTACAACTTGACTGGCTGGCTGGAGAAGAACAAGGATCCCCTCAACGACACCGTCGTCGACCAGATCAAGAAAGCCACCAATGCTCTCGCTGTTGAGGTCTTCTCAGATCATCCAGGCCAGTCTGGTGGTGCTGATGCTGGGAAAGGTTGTAAGTATACACGAATAGCTTCGTATATATTTTATTAGAGCAATGATGGTAACAAAGCTACAGATAGTGAAGTTTCGTGTCTTGTGAGTGACCAGCAGGTGTTTCTATATACATATTATTTCAAATTTTCATAGTGCTCAGTTACTTTTTTTTCCCCCACAGAGTGCCTGTTGAGACTGTCAAGACGCAAGTGGTCTAACACATCAAAAATTTCTGGTAATGTGATAGTTCATAATCTCAGAGAAGAGAATAATGGGACTGATTTTTTTTCATTTAATTTTCTCTTGAGATCGCTTGAGTTATTTCTTCTACAAACACTTTACTCTAATCGCAACAATTCTTTTCACTTAATTTTCTCGGCCAAAAAAAACATTATTGGGTTTGTCTCTGTGGTTCGTGTTGATGGGCAGACTCGAGGCTACTAGTTGGATTTTTCATGGCAGATGGAGACATGACGCTTGTTGGGTGTGTCTCGGCGGCGCTTGTGTATGGGGAAGACTTGTGTCTCTTGTTAGCACGGCTAAACAACCAAGTGACTAACAGTGTAGGAACTTGATAGGGACCGTGACGGTAATGTTAGTACCGTGGACTAAGAAACTCTTGGTTACCAGTTCTTTCTCCACATTATTTATGAATCTTCGAAGTTTTACATTAAAATCATTGCGAATTTCATCTTGGATGAAAGGAGCTTGATAAGTTAAATACTGCTTTAATAGATAACTTGTGAATCTGATTTTATTTTTTAGCAATAACTTCGGTTTTTATATTCTTTCCAGATTTTTAAAAACTAACGCTGCGGTTGTATTAACCAGACCATTTATCTTTTTAGATGAGCTGTTAATGACATTAATATAATTTTTATATTAGGCTATAAAGGTGTATGTTGTGGTCATAGAGCAATGTGCTGTTCTCAGAGCATCAACATAACGAGGCGTTTCCAATTTCTTCCAGGTGGTCGTGGTAAGAAGTCTGGTGGGTTTTCGACTGTGTCTTCTGGATACAGGGTATGTATTTAGAGTTTTACTCTCCTGGTTAATTCTTAACGGTTCCTAAACCTGTAATATTTTATTTCCAATTTCCATTTCTACCGGATAAGTGTACTGCATTCCTACCCAGTAGCGTTGAGTGTTGCAGAAGGCGATTACATTTGCGACAACAAGAGATAAGTTAATTCCACTTTCATTATGAAATTAAACGTAAAAGAAATTTAGACGATAAATTGTAGTGCGGATTTTAAGAAAATAACATTAATATTAATTTAATGAATAAATTGAAGTCAAGATTGTAAATGACTTTGAAAGAATTAGATCTATAGGAGTAAACTTTGAAAGAATTAGATCTATAGGAGTAAACTTTGAAAGAATTAGATCTATAGGAGTAAACTTTGAAAGAATTAGATCTATAGGAGTAATGGTAATGTTAAATGAACAGTAATGGAAATAAAATAAGTGTGCTTTTAAATAACAATGAGGTGTGAGGAGTAATTGTCGGTGCTTTAATACCTGAAGTTGAGAGAAGACATTCTGGAGAAGTTACTTGAATGCTTAGCCATAGGTAATCGTGAGAGAATATTTGTTTAGGGAGATGACAATACTGAAGTTGGAAGTGTAATAGAAGTGTTTTGACTACAAGTTGTAACTGATAGCTGGACAGTTGAAATTTAACTGTGTTTTGAAAGGTTTAGTAATAGTCAAAGTAGTCAATATTTGTATTAAAAGAAAATAAGTATATAATGTATGATTAAGAGTGCAGTAAGAGTATTCGGTAAAATAATGTATTAATGGCTATAACGTTGGGGAAGAAATTTTTGGATGAATATGATTTTAATGAAGTAACCAAATATTATTTAGTGATAGAAAAGAAAACAGAAGATGGTAAATCACAGAGAATGATGTCGCAGAAAACAGATGGTAAATCACAGAGAATGATGTCACAGAAAACAGATGGTAAATCACAGAGAATGATGTCATAGAAAACAAGATGGTAAATCACAGAGAATGATGTCATAGAAAACAGAAGATGGTAAATCACAGAGAATGATGTCACAGAAAACAGATGGTAAATCACAGAGAATGATGTCGCAGAAAACAGATGGTAAATCACAGAGAATGATGTCACAGAAAACAGATGGTAAATCACAGAGAATGATGTCATAGAAAACAAGATGGTAAATCACAGAGAATGATGTCATAGAAAACAGAAGATGGTAAATCACAGAGAATGATGTCACAGAAAACAGATGGTAAATCACAGAGAATGATGTCGCAGAAAACAGATGGTAAATCACAGAGAATGATGTCACAGAAAACAGATGGTAAATCACAGAGAATGATGTCATAGAAAACAAGATGGTAAATCACAGAGAATGATGTCATAGAAAACAGAAGATGGTAAGTCACAGAGAATGATGTCATAGAAAACAGAGGGTAAATCACAGAGAATGATGTCACAGAAAACGGAAGATGGTAAATCACAGAGAATGATGTCATAGAAAACAGAAGATGGTAAATCACAGAGAATGATGTCACAAAACAGAAGATGGTAAATCACAGAGAATGATGTCACATAAAACAGAAGATGGTAAATCACAGAGAATGGTGTCACAGAAAACAGAAGATGATAAATCACAGAGAATGATGTCACAGAAAACAGAAGATGGTAAATCACAGAGAATGATATCACAGAAAACAGAAGATGGTAAATCACAGAGAATGATAGTCACAGAAAACAAGATGGTAAATCACAGAGAATGGTGTCATAGAAAACAGAAGATGGTAAATCACAGAGAATGATATCACAGAAAACAGAAGATGGTAAATCACAGAGAATGATGTCACAGAAAACAAGATGGTAAATCACAGAGAATGTCATAGAAAACAGAAGATGGTAAATCACAGAGAATGATGTCATAGAAAACAAGATGGTAAATCACAGAGAATGATGTCATAGAAAACAGAAGATGGTAAATCACAGAGAATGATGTCACAGAAAACAAGATGGTAAATCACAGAGAATGATGTCATAGAAAACAGAAGATGGTAAATCACAGAGAATGATGTCACAGAAAACAGATGGTAAATCACAGAGAATGATGTCATAGAAAACAGATGGTAAATCACAGAGAATAATGTCATAGAAAACAAGATGGTAAATCACAGAGAACGATGTCATAGAAAACAGAAGATGGTAAATCACAGAGAATGATGTCATAGAAAACAGAAGATGGTAAATCACAGAGAATGATGTCGCAGAAAACAGATGGTAAATCACAGAGAATGATGTCATAGAAAACAAGATGGTAAATCACAGAGAATGATGTCATAGAAAACAGAAGATGGTAAATCACAGAGAATGGTGTCATAGAAAACAGAAGATGGTAAATCACAGAGAATGATGTCATAGAAAACAGAAGATGGTAAATCACAGAGAATGATGTCACAGAAAACAGAAGATGGTAAATCACAGAGAATGGTGTCATAGAAAACAGAAGATGGTAAATCACAGAGAATGATGTCACAGAAAACAGAAGATGGTAAATCACAGAGAATGGTGTCATAGAAAACAGAAGATGGTAAATCACAGAGAATGATGTCATAGAAAACAGAAGATGGTAAATCACAGAGAATGATGTCACAGAAAACAGAAGATGGTAAATCACAGAGAATGGTGTCATTCCTTAAAAGAAACTTGAAAGAGAATTGCTGAAAGAAAATGATGGTTAGAGAGAAGTATAAACAACTGCTGTAGGAAAAAAGATACCTATAAAAACAGGTGATAGTGAGAAGAAAGAGGTATGGTGTGAATTAAGGGAATCAGTGATAGAATATAGAGTTGAGGTTTGTGGTTACGCGATAATGGCTTCTAGAGGGAGGAATATAACTTTTAACAAATAGACATGCCTCAATCATGTGGTCATGGCATCTAGTAGCCCGTCATTCTAGCCACTAACTAGCCAGTGTTGGATAAAATAAGATTCCCAAAATTTACTCCAGGTAATGTTAGCAAGTGTCCCAGCTACGACATAAACTGTTTTAAGATACTCTCTTACCTACAGTAATCACACTTGCTAACATTACCTGAGGTAGTGTTAGGAATCTTATTTTAGTAAATATAACTCGAGGCACGTCCATTACTTCAAAATGTTTACTTATTTGTGCATTTATATGCTTGTTTATATAACGTTTTGTTTTTCAGCATCAGCCTCGTAGATCATAACCATTGAAAATAAAAGAAAATCTACTTTTATTAGTAAGGTTTGATGGTTAGGCAGAAATTACATCTATGATGACCCGTTATTTTGTGTGTATACAGGAGCAGCTGGGTAACCTGATGAGGACTCTCAACGCCACATCACCTCATTTCATCCGTTGCATCGTCCCCAACGAGACTAAGTCACCTGGTATGTAGACATAACTAATTGTAACAAGTTCCTTGTATGTAGACATTAACGATGTTGAATCCTCAGTAATTTAAGAGGGCAAGTCAGAAAACACTAGGACGGTGTCAGTTACCAAGGTGTGTTTGTAACATCAGTATGATGAACACTTCTCAATAAATGGTCCATACATGATGACTGAAACAAGAGTACTTAAAAGATTGTATTTATAACTCGACCTACCCCTGAGCTCCATAAAGCAGTGGCCCAAGTTACGATATATTAATAATTCTGTCTTTCCATTAGGCTCCACACAGCAGTGACCTAAGATACGATATAAAAATATTTCATGTTTCCATTTCATTTCCCAGGTGTGACTGACGCGGCTCTGATCATGCATCAACTCACCTGTAACGGTGTACTTGAGGGCATCAGGATCTGTCGCAAAGGCTTCCCCAACAGGATGTTGTACCCTGACTTCAAGCACCGGTAAGAAGACCAATTGTTCTTCACACCTACCCACAACTGAAATAGTAATAACAAATATAATATCATTAAACCAACATTAAAAATTAGTAAAGACATTCTACTCTTGTGGTTCCCTTTTCTCGTGGAGAGTAAACACCAGAGACCTGCTAACTCACGTATAAAATTTAGTGATACATAACTGCGGCTTTTGGTGTGTTACCTTGTTAAAGTAATCTTCCAATCTCAAAACAAATAAGTGATAATTATATTCCACCAGAGGTAAGTGCTAATTATCTATTTTCTGTTTAATTAAAAGATACTGCATTTTAGCTTCTAAAGCTATGACCGAGGCCTCGACTGAAAAGGAAGCAGCAAAAGTTTGTTTAGAGGCCATTGAACTGAATAAGGAATCATATCGTCTGGGTCACACTAAGGTATGTTTCACCTAGCGTGACCATCTCTTTCTCTCATCTGTATTATATTAAGTGTGGGGTACCACTATGACACCTGTCACCTAGCATAATTAACTCGAGTAGTCATCCACAATACATTAACTCAATACAACAGTTGTAGGAATAAAAACGTAAGGACGGCACTGTTCAAGAACACTGGTTACCTGGGCGAAACTATTGCCAGCTTCCTTAGTCTCAACTACTGTGCCAAGTATTTATCTCTAATTAGAATTCACTACTGTAAATGTAGTATTATAGTTACGATATCCATTTTGTTGAAGAAAATCATTTCATGCGCCTCACGAACGTGTTATCTTCATTAGTGGTTTACTCTTGCATGACGATCTTACCAGTTGTGTGATATTGACCCCAGAGGCCATGACGAAGGTCAGCACAGAAAAGGCTCTTAGTGAGATGTGTTGGGTTTTATATCCATTTATTGACATAGGGGTTCCGGGACATCATCCACCTGCCCACACATAAGCATTCCTGAAACCATACTAAGACATTTGATGGTATACAGGGATATGTACTTACATTAGAGCTGAAGTTCAAGCTATGGATACTACAATTTTTTAAAAAAATATTTCATACGAGTGTGTGTGACATATTACACAATTGGTAATGTAATCATGTGAGAAACTACAGGGTTTCAGGACGACTTAGTAAAAGCGATTACTGTAGCCTAGTGCTTGGCGAGTAACCGCGGTCACGTGATGTGAGGATATGTAACCAGGAATAATAAATTCAGATTTAGAAGTGATATAGACAAGATCTGGTTTTGCAACAGAGTTGTAGATGAATGGAAGAATCGACCAAATAGCGTTATAGGATCTGACACTTTGGGTAGATTCAGATTGCAAGAGTAGATGGTTTGGAAATGCCGACCAGTTCTTGATAAAGGCATACACGCAGCAATTGGAAAATTCACGTAAATATTTCCAGCTGTTGCTTGTGGGTCCTTATCAACCACAAAGTAGTTAAGATAAATATATGAGTAAGAAGGGCTGGGTTTGAGAGCTGCCAAACACAGGCCAGAAGACCTCCTGTAGTGCTTCTCTGTCCGTAGGTTTTTGTAGTGATATTGAGACGACTTGAGTCTTCAACTGGTAAGAAAATCATTAAGAGATTGTAATATTTGTTGTGGATGGTTGTAGTGTGAGTGTACAGTAGTAATGTGGATGGTTATAGTGTGAGTGTACTGTAGTAATGTGGATGGTTGTAATGTGAGTGTACTGTAGTAATGTGGATGGTTGTAGTGTGACTGTACAGTAGTAATGTGGATGGTTGTAGTGTGAGTGTACAGTAGTAATGTGGATGGTTGTAGTGAGTGTACTGTAGTAATGTGGATGGTTGTAGTGTGACTGTACAGTAGTAATTTGGATGGTTGAAATGTGAGTGTACGGTAGTAATGTGGATGGTTGTAGTGTGAGTGTACTGTAGTAATGCGGATGGTTGTAGTGTGAGTGTACAGTAGTAATGTGGATGGTTGTAGTGTGAGTATACAGTAGTAATGTGGATGGTTGTAGTGTGAGTGTACTGTAGTAATGTGGATGGTTGTAGTGTGAACGTACAGTAGTAATGTGGATGGTTGTAGTGTGAGTATACAGTAGTAATGTGGATGGTTGTAGTGTGAGTGTACAGTAGTAATGTGGATGGTTGTAGTGTGAGTGTACAGTAGTAATGTGGATGGTTGTAGTGTGAGTGTACAGTAGTAATGTGGATGGTTGTAGTGTGAACGTACAGTAGTAATGTGGATGGTTGTAGTGTGAGTGTACAGTAGTAATGTGGATGGTTGTAGTGTGAGTGTACTGTAGTAATGTGGATGGTTGTAGTGTGAGTGTACAGTAGTAATGTGGATGGTTGTAATGTGAGTGTACTGTAGTAATGTGGATGGTTGTAGAATGTACAGTAGTAATGTGGATGGTTGTAGAATGTACAGTAGTAATGTGGATGGTTGTAGTGTGAGTGTACAGTAGTAATGTGGATGGTTGTAGTGTGAGTGTACAGTAGTAATGTGGATGGTTGTAGTGTAAGTGTACAGTAGTAATGTGGATGGTTGTAGTGTAAGTGTACTGTAGTAATGTGGATGGTTGTAGTGTGAGTGTACAGTAGTAATGTGGATGGTTGTAGTGTGAGTGTACAGTAGTAATGTGGATGGTTGTAGTGTGAGTGTACAGTAGTAATGTGGATGGTTGTAGTGTGAGTGTACAGTAGTAATGTGGATGGTTGTAGTGTGAGTGTACAGTAGTAATGTGGATGGTTGTAGTGTGAGTGTACAGTAGTAATGTGGATGGTTGTAGTGTAAGTGTACAGTAGTAATGTGGATGGTTGTAGTGTGAGTGTACAGTAGTAATGTGGATGGTTGTAGTGTGAGTGTACAGTAGTAATGTGGATGGTTGTAGTGTGAGTGTACAGTAGTAATGTGGATGGTTGTAGTGTGAGTGTACAGTAGTAATGTGGATGGTTGTAGTGTAAGTGTACAGTAGTAATGTGGATGGTTGTAGTGTGAGTGTACAGTAGTAATGTGGATGGTTGTAGTGTGAGTGTACAGTAGTAATGTGGATGGTTGTAGTGTGAGTGTACAGTAGTAATGTGGATGGTTGTAGTGTAAGTGTACTGTAGTAATGTGGATGGTTGTAGTGTAAGTGTACAGTAGTAATGTGGATGGTTGTAGTGTGAGTGTACAGTAGTAATGTGGATGGTTGTAGTGTAAGTGTACTGTAGTAATGTGGATGGTTGTAGTGTAAGTGTACAGTAGTAATGTGGATGGTTGTAGTGTGAGTGTACAGTAGTAATGTGGATGATTGTAGTGTAAGTGTACAGTAGTAATGTGGATGGTTGTAGTGTGAGTGTACTGTAGTAATGTGGATGATTGTAGTGTGAGTGTACAGTAGTAATGTGGATGGTTGTAGTGTGAGTGTACTGTAGTAATGTGGATGGTTGTAGTGTGAGTGCACAGTAATAATGTTGTGGATGGTTGTAGTGTGAGTGTACAGTAATAATGTTGTGGGATGGTTGTAGTGTGAGTGTACTGTAGTAATGTGGATGGTTGTAGTGTGAGTGCACAGTAATAATGTTGTGGATGGTTGTAGTGTGAGTGTACAGTAATAATGTTGTGGATGGTTGTAGTGTGAGTGTACTGTAGTAATGTGGATGGTTGTAGTGTGAGTGTACTGTAGTAATGTGGATGGTTGTAGTGTGAGTGTACTGTTAGTAATGTGGATGGTTGTAGTGTGAGTGTACTGTAGTAATGTGGATGGTTGTAGTGTGAGTGTACAGTAGTAATGTGGATGGTTGTAGTGTGAGTGTACTGTAGTAATGTGGATGGTTGTAGTGTGACTGTACAGTAGTAATGTGGATGGTTGTAGTGTGAGTGTACTGTAGTAATGTGGATGGTTGTAGTGTGACTGTACAGTTAGTAATGTGGATGGTTGTAGTGTGAGTGTACTGTAGTAATGTGGATGGTTGTAGTGTGAGTGCACAGTAATAATGTTGTGGATGGTTGTAGTGTGAGTGTACAGTAATAATGTTGTGGATGGTTGTAGTGTGAGTGTACTGTAGTAATGTGGATGGTTGTAGTGTGAGTGTACAGTAGTAATGTGGATGGTTGTAGTGTGAGTGTACTGTAGTAATGTGGATGGTTGTAGTGTGAGTGCACAGTAATAATGTTGTGGATGGTTGTAGTGTGAGTGTACAGTAATAATGTTGTGGATGGTTGTAGTGTGAGTGTACAGTAATAATGTTGTGGATGGTTGTAGTGTGAGCGTACAGTAATAATGTTGTGGATGGTTGTAGTGTGAGTGTACAGTAATAATGTTGTGGATGGTTGTAGTGTGAGTGTACAGTAATAATATTGTGGATGGTTGTAGTGTGAGTGTACAGTAATATGTTGTGGATGGTTGTAGTGTGAGTGTACAGTAATAATATTGTGGATGGTTGTAGTGTGAGTGTACAGTAATAATGTTGTGGATGGTTGTAGTGTGAGTGTACAGTAATAATGTTGTAGATGGTTGTAGTGTGAGTGTACAGTAATAATGTTGTGGATGGTTGTAGTGTGAGTGTACAGTAATAATGTTGTAGATGGTTGTAGTGTGAGTGTACAGTAATAATGTTGTGGATGGTTGTAGTGTGAATGTCTACCAGGTAATAACAAAGTGTTCCATCAGCAGCAGGACTCTGGTGTTCATAGAGATGTCGCAACGACCACGTTATGACACCTGATAAGACTGTCAGGCGGTACGGTAATAAGGGCTGACAGCTCTTTGGAACAGTTTTCTATGTATTTTTTTTATAACCCACTGTTCAGCCTATTGATAATTTGTATATACCAAGTATAATATTCCGACTAGTTGCAAAACAAAGAAACAAAGACAGTGTTTACCTCTGCAACTAAGGTTTTTCATGTCTATACAGTTCACAGGAAACGTGAGAATATATAGTCAGGGTGAGGAACATAGAATTGTGAGTGACATGATCATATGAACGACTGTAAAATGGATTTGTTAGGCTGGAAATTACTTTATCCTTGTATCAATAAGATGAAGCCATTGGTGATGATTGAGGTTAATACTAAAATCTTCTGGTCGGACTATGTCCTTCCGGTGCTTGTTGAAATACAGAACTACATCCGCTGAAGGGGATCCCAGAAAGGGGTCGAGTTTCTGTCTGCATGTGAGTTATTTTTGAGCAATGAAAACTACATCCGCTGAAGGGGATCCCAGAAAGGGGTCGAGTTTCTGTCTGCATGTGAGTTATTTTTTGAGCAATGAAAGTGTTCATTACACTTTAGTTATTCACAGAACTACAAGTTTACGGTTAATCCTCAGAAGAATACTGTCGAAGGTGAAAATATTGTGTCACTGAGTGTGATCACTAATGTCTTGGTTGTGTTTAAATATCCGCTGGAAACACTAGGAAGGCTATACGGATTCCAAAGGCTAATGCAGAATGGAGTTAATCTCTGGTTTATCACTATCCTTACAGAGACTGTTGGAATAGTGTAGACCACACGCTCCAGCACATACTTCCAAATCTTCCAGTGGTGACTTCCAAACCTTACCAGAGGTGACTCCAGTGCGTATATTAACGCAGTGTTTTTTTTTTCCACGATGCCACGGAGACTGCTTCCTACTAACACTATAGTTTTCTGAGGCAAGGTTCTCGTCACACTCTAGAAGACAGGTCTGGTCTAGATAGAAAGGAAATGGAAACACTAAAGATTAACCGTTAACTAAACAGTCATTGAAAAAAAAACATAATCCAACCAGAGGACATTAGTATCAACTTTACCTTCCTCACCGACACCATCATACAGAAAATAATATGTTGATACCGACAAGAGGCGTAAAAAGGCACTTACAGTTCAGAGCATTTAATAAATTAAATGTCCTGAACTGTATACAAGTGTTTATTTTTTTTTTACACACCATCATGCAGATACAGTGATGAAGGAACTTTTAGTTTACCATACCCGTATGGAGGGCAAACTCCTCCACCTGACCTTTACTTTCCACTTGACCTTTACTTTCCACCTGACCTTCTAGTTTCCACTTGATATTCTAGTTTCCACTTGACCTTCTACTTTCCACTTGACCTTCTAGTTTCCACTTGACCTTCTAGTTTCCACTTGACCTAGTTTCCACTTGACCTAGTTTCCACTTGACCTTCTAGTTTCCACTTGACCTAGTTTCCACTTGACCTTCTAGTTTCCACTTGACCTTCTAGTTTCCACTTGACCTTCTAGTTTCCACTTGACCTTCTAGTTTCCACTTGACCTAGTTTCCACTTGACCTAGTTTCCACTTGACCTTCTAGTTTCCACTTGACCTAGTTTCCACTTGACCTTCTAGTTTCCACTTGATCTAGTTTCCACTTGACCTTCTAGTTTCCACTTGACCTAGTTTCCACTTGACCTTCTAGTTTCCACTTGACCTAGTTTCCACTTGACCTTCTAGTTTCCACTTGACCTTCTAGTTTCCACTTGACCTTCTAGTTTCCACTTGACCTAGTTTCCACTTGACCTAGTTTTCACTTGACCTAGTTTCCACACTCCGCCTATATATTCTCACGTTTTCCTTGTATTCTGTATAGACTTGACAAAAGGTTAGTTACCAAGTTAAACGTTGTATATAACAGTGTGTCCATTCTGCTTTTATGCCTTTGTTTTGTAAAGTCTTAATTTATAAATTCAAAACTAATATTGAATGTAACTCACAGCCTCAAAAATTTCTACAGATGTTGTTTTGTAACCTTTTTGTTTTCTCATTAAAATAAATTTTTTAATGATCATTTCTGAAGACCCAGTTATTGGCAATTATTTGACTAAACTCCTTTAATACAGCTTATAAATTAGACACAAGTGCAACACTTGGGTATCTTCACTGTGGAAACGTTTCGCCACACAGTGGCTTCATCAGTCTAATACAAAGAAGTATGGTGAAGATAAGAAGGAGTTTGAGGTAATCAGTCCCTCAGTCTTGATGGACTGATTACATCGACTCCAGACTGAGGGACTGATTATCTCAAACTCCTTCTGATCTTCACCATTCTTCTCTCTACTAGACTGATGAAGTCACTGTGTGGCGAGACGTTTCCTCAGTAAAGATACTCAAGTGTTACACATGTGTTTAATTTATCAATTTGTCGGTTCTCTGAACCATTTATCTAATACAATTTCCTTAACAATAGATTTAGATGTGGTTATTTGTTTCATTATCTATTATTTTATTTATTAATGCACTACTTCAAGTTTTGGAATGTATTTTATTGACCTCTAATGTGAGAAACTAATTGCCATCGTTTACGTCTCCAGAGACAACTGTACACATATAAAAAAATGGTTCTTTTATATTATTTCAGATCCAATGAATTTGTTTTTCCGTCTAAATTATGATTTAAGGTTTTTAATGAATAGTATAACATGTATATTATAACTAAGGTCAGGGAAGACTTATGTTCCTCTGTGGTGTAGGGGATTAAATTGACGGTCTGATCATGGCAGAACGCGAATTTGAATCCCTGTTACCCAGGAGTTATTTGCTTATACGATACTCAGACAAGTAATGAATAATAATAATTCACAACTTCTGTGCATTTAATGTTTTCCTGTGGCGACAGGTGTTCTTCCGTGCGGGAGTCCTGGGTAGCTTGGAGGAGATCCGTGACGACCGTCTGGCCAAGGTTCTCTCCTGGTTACAGGCATTTATCCGTGGCTTCAACAGCCGCAAGGCCTTTAAGAAACTCCAGGAGCAGCGCGTTGCTCTCTGCATTGTTCAGCGAAATATCAGAAAATTCATGAAGCTCCGCAACTGGGCATGGTATCGCATGTGGCAGAAGGTGAAGCCACTGCTCAATGTCACACGCATCGAGGATGAAATCCGCGCCCTAGAGGAGAAGGCTGCCAAGGCCCTGGAAGACTATGAACGTGAGGCCAAACTTCGCATTGAACTCGAGGCTGCCAACCTTGCTCTCCTCGAAGAAAAGAATAACCTCTTGGTTGCTCTTGAATCAACCAAGGGTAACGTGTCTGAATTCCTGGACAAACAAGCCAAGTTGCAGAGCCAGAAGGCAGATCTTGAAGCTCAGCTCAATGTGAGTAGTTTCAAAACAGATGTGTTTACAAATAAGGTAACTTTATTTGAAGTGTCACTTTAAGGATTAAGATCTATTGATTTCCAGGATTATTAAGGACGTAGGCTAGCGTATCTCTAAGCATACAGTATACTGTCATCGCTATCAGGTTTTATTTATACTCTCTCTTAACACACACATATATATACCTGGAGAGGGTTTCGGGGGTCAACGCCCCCGAGGCGTTGATCCCCGAAATATTAAGTTAATATTTTAAATCCATCGAAGAGACAGAGCTCACGTTATAATCTGCTCTTATATCTTAAAATAGGTGGTGTCTCTGGCACAAAAATCTTCATTCAAGTATTCCTCTCCACCAGGAAACTACTGAGCGTTTACAACAAGAAGAGGAGGCGCGAAACCAACTTTTCCAGGGCAAGAGAAAGGTTGAGCAGGAAATCACTAGTTTAAAAAAAGACATCGAAGACCTTGAACTCACCATTCAAAAATCAGAACAAGATAAAGCAACTAAAGATCACCAAATCCGCAATCTCAGCGATGAAATTGCCCATCAGGATGAACTTATCAACAAAATCAACAAGGAGAAGAAGCACCTTCAAGAGTGCAATCAGAAGACCACCGAGGATCTTCAGGGTATTGAAGACAAGTGCAACCACTTGAATAAAGTGAAAACTAAGCTCGAACAAACTCTTGACGAGCTCGAGGACTCCCTCGATCGGGAAAAGAAACTTCGTTCTGAAATTGAAAAAGCCAAGCGGAAAGTAGAGGGCGACCTGAAACTGACCCAAGAGTCTGTTGCAGATTTGGAGCGCAATCACAAAGAGCTGGAACAGACGATCCAGCGTAAAGACAAGGAAATATCTTCGCTTGCCAACAAGCTGGAAGAAGAGCAAGGCTGTGTTGTTAAGGTTCAGAGACAAGTCAAGGAATTGCAGTCCCGAATCGAAGAGTTAGAAGAAGAGGTTGAACACGAGCGACAAGCTCGCGCTAAGGCAGAGAAATCCAAGACTCACCTTGCTCGTGAGCTGGAAGAGCTGGGGGAGCGTCTAGACGAAGCTGGTGGTGCTACTGCTGCTCAGATAGATCTGAATAAAAAGCGCGAGGCTGAGCTTATTAAACTTCGCCGCGACCTGGAAGAGTCTAATATTCAACATGAATCTGCACTGGCTAGTCTACGCAAGAAACACAACGATGCCGTGGCTGAAATGTCTGAACAAATTGATCATCTAAATAAGATGAAAGCCAGGTAATTGATTTTCGTAGGAAGTAGCACTCTTTCCCTGCTTATCTTTTCAGTTCTATCAGTAAACTGACTGTAAACTTTCAGTAAAGCACACACAGCTAAACCCTCTACTAAACTCTCAGTAAAGTAACTGCCAAACCCTCAATAAATTTCCTTGGTTAATAAATTACTTAATCTGTAAATCAGTTAATCATTTGTATCCTGAATACAGCTACTACTGCAGTAGTTGGTTTTATTAATATTTATTTCCGTGCAGAGATGGAAATTATAAACTATATGTGTGAACACTTGAATATTTCAGGATGGAGAAAGATAAGGACAGTCTTAAGCGTGATGCTGATGATGCCAAGTCTGCCATGGACGGCCTCACGCGGGATAAGGTGACGTTATTGTCTATATGTGAACGAGATATTTGACCTAACAAGACACATTATCTGCTAGTTGTGAATTGTTAGGTAAAAGGACATAAGTGCAACTAATATCAAGCCGTAACGGCTTTGTCAAGCTGTAACGGCTTAACTAAGCTCCTGGAGAGCGAAACGTTGCCACAATAAAAATGTCACATTTGTTGTACTTTTACCTAACATACTGTCGGTAATTCTAGTTATGAATTATTAAACGTACATTTAATATCTAACTCATTAGTAATAGGGCAAGAAATGCATTAACATCTGGTGAAGTTATGCCAGTTTTTATTATGGATACAGTTTAGAGACAAAATCTGGCAGATTGTAGTTGTATTTTGCCACAGTGATACATCATGGTAAGCTGTCAAGCTACATCACTTGGCAAGTCTGTAGTGTTGCGTTTGAGTCTGCCTGGAGGGTGTTCCGGGGGTCAGCGCCCCCGCGGCCCCACTCCTTGATCAGACTTGAAGTGTTTATAATCCATCCATATGTTTTATATCTTACATAAAAGAACTAAAAACTCCTTATGCCAGTATTCGCGCAGCTTCTTGACATATAAAGATCGAAAACCACACAAATAATTTATCGCTCGTGTTACGAGAGAACTTATTTATGTGTCTTTCTACATACATTTACACACATGATAAACATATATTTAGTCTTAAATACAAGCATTAATACACATGGTAAACATACATTAAGTTTTAGTATGCATTCAGTCTATTTGGTAGGTGTATACAGTTTACAGAAACAAATATACATGGGCAACCAAGTTTACATACATCAGTGTGTAGTCGAGAACCTTTGACTCACATTACGCTATCAGTGTGTTCTTACTGTATCGCTTAGCCGCTGCTTAGGTCTCGATTAAGTGAAGGAATGTTGTCTAAGACGGATTAATAATTGGTCCTTATTATTCAGGCCGTAGCTGAGAAGACAAACAAGCAGATACAGCACCAGATGACCGAGCTTCAGGCTAAGCTTGACGAAGCCAACCGAACACTCAATGATTTCGATGCTGCCAAGAAGAAACTGGCGGTGGAGAACGCTGACCTCTTGCGTCAGGTGGAGGAAGCAGAGAGCCAAAATGGGCAACTATCAAAAATAAAGCTTTCTCTCACAAATCAGCTGGAAGACACTAGGAAGCTTGCAGATGAGGAGAGCAGGGTGAGTGCAGGGTGAGTGCAGGGTGAGTGCAGGGTGAGTGCAGGGTGAGTGCAGGGTGAGGGCAGGGTGAGTGCAGGGTGAGGGCAGGGTGAGTGCAGGGTGAGGGCAGGGTGAGTGCAGGGTGAGTGCAGGGTGAGGGCAGGGTGAGGGCAGGGTGAGTGCAGGGTGAGTGCAGGGTGAGTGCAGGGTGAGTGCAGGGTGAGTGCAGGGTGAGGGCAGGGTGAGGTGCAGGGTGAGGGCAGGGTGAGGGCAGGGTGAGTGCAGGGGTGAGGGCAGGGTGAGTGCAGGGTGAGTGCAGGGTGAGGGCAGGGTGAGTGCAGGGTGAGTGCAGGGTGAGTGCAGGGTGAGTGCAGGGTGAGTACAGGGTGAGTGCAGGGTGAGTGCAGGGTGAGGGCAGGGTGAGTGCAGGGTGAGGGCAGGGTGAGGGCAGGGTGAGTGCAGGGTGAATGCAGGGTGAGGGCAAATGGTGAGGGCAGGGTGAGTGCAGGGTGAGTGCAGGGTGAGGGCAGGGTGAATGCAGAGTGAGGGCAGGGTGAGTGCAGGGTGAGTGCAGGGTGAGGGCAGGGTGAGTGCAGGGTAAGTGCAGGTGTGAGTGCAGGGTGAGGGCAGGGTGAGTGCAGGGTGAGGGCAGGGTGAGTGCAGGGTGAGGACAGGGTGAGTGCAGGGTGAGTGCAAATGATGAGGGCAGGGTGAGGGGGGCAGGGTGAGGGCAGGGTGAGGGCAGGGTGAGGGCAGGGTGAGGGCAGGGTGAGGGCAGGGTGAGTGCAGGGTGAGGGCAGGGTGAGGGCAGGGTGAGGGCAGGGTGAGGGCAGGGTGAGGGCAAGGTGAGGGCAGGGTGAGGGCAGGGTGAGGGCAAGGTGAGGGCAGGGTGAGGGCAGGGTGAGGGCAGGGTGAGGGCAGGGTGAGTGCAGGGTGAGGGCAGGGTGAGGGCAGGGTGAGGGCAGGGTGAGTGCAGGGTGAGGGCAGGGTGAGGGCAGGGTGAGGGCAGGGTGAGGGCAGGGTGAGGGCAGGGTGAGGGCAGGGTGAGGGCAGGGTGAGTGCAGGGTGAGGGCAGGGTGAGGGCAGGGTGAGGGTAGGGTGAGGGCAGGGTGAGGGCAGGGAGGTGAGGGCAGGGGTGAGGGCAGGGTGAGGGCAGGGTGAGGGCAGGGTGAGTGCAGGGTGAGGGCAGGTGAGGAGGTGAGGGCAGGGTGAGGCAGGTGAGCAGGGTGAGTGCAGGGTGAGGGCAGGGTGAGTGCAGGGTAGAGGGCAGGGTGAGTGCAGGGTGAGGGCAGGGTGAGGGCAGGGTGAGGGCAGGTGAGGGCAGGGTGAGTGCAGGGTGAGGGCAGGGTGAGGGCAGGGTGAGGAGGTGAGGGCAGGGTGAGGGAGGTGGGCAGGGTGAGGGCAGGGTGAGTGCAGGGTGAGGGCAGGGGGGTAGGTGAGGGCAGGGTGAGGGCAGGGTGAGGGCAGGGTGAGGGCAGGTGAGGGCAGGGTGAGGGCAGGGTGAGGGCAGGGTGAGGGAGGGTGAGGGCAGGGTGAGGGCAGGGTGAGGGCAGTAGGTGGAGTGGGCAGGGTGAGGGCAGGGTAGGGAGGGTGAGGTAGGGTGAGTGCAGGGTGAGGGTAGGGTGGAGGGCAGGGTGAGGGTAGGGTGAGGGCAGGGTGAGGGCAGGGTGAGGGCAGGGTGAGGGATGAGGAGGTGAGTGCAGGGTGAGGGCAGGGTGAGGGCAGGGTGAGGGCAGGGTAGAGGGTGAGGGCAGGGTGAGGGTAGGGTGAGTGGCAGGGTGAGGGTAGGGTGAGGGCAGGGTGAGGGCAGGGTGAGGGCAGGGTGAGTGCAGGGTGAGGGCAGGGTGAGGGCAGGGTGAGGGTAGGGTGAGGGCAGGGTGAGGGCAGGGTGAGGGCAGGGTGAGGGCAGGGTGAGGGCAGGGTGAGGGCAGGGTGAGGGCAGGGT